GGGTACTTACTCAGCCTATTTGTCTCACTATCAGGAAGTTCCTAAGGATGCTTTGGAGGAAATTTTGAAAGAAGAAAAATTATTAACTACCGCTCCTTAAGCTTTTTGCGTTTGAAAAATATACAAGGATTTTTAAGAATGAAATAATCAAAGATTATTTATTTCAATAGACACGGATAAGAAAAATAAACTTGATATTTTTGAATAGACATAAAGATACAAAAAAATGTTTATTTTTTTCTTTTTTTAATAAAACCCAAAATAAATCTAATGATTAGAATAAATAAAGCACCAATTACCAAAACGAGGGCACTAATCTTTACTATTTTCAAAATAGTGTTTTCTTGAGGATTAATTTGTCCGGAATTGTCATCTAATTTAATCGAACTCTCATTGATTTCTCCCACTGCTACTTTATAAAGATATTCATTTATTTGGCTATCAGTCAGAACTTCGTCTTTTTTTAGCGAATAATGCTTTCTAATTTTTGCGTCCTTATTTTTTTTGTCATCAGCATTTAATTGGTCGTATTCAAATCGTTTAATAATAGTAATTACTTCTTGGGGTGATTTGTTGGTAATCAAACTATTAAGGTCAGGAGCCGAATGTTTGGAGGAAATTTCGGTCAAAAAATTGTTATTTATTTTAACATTTTCAAACAGATTTTTTACTCCCTCGGCAGTATTAAATGGGTCTTTTTCTTGTTTTCATTCGGCAATTTTGGTATCGGTGAAAGATTGCTCCAAATTTGGGTCAATATTTTTTAATTCTTCCCTCCACTCGTTAGGACTTTGGTCAGTATCTTTTTTTGGGCCTTTATCAGTGGGTTCTTGGCTGTCGTCTTTCCCATTGTCCTCGTTGTCGTTATTTCCGTTTCCATTGTCAGGAGCGGGTCCTTGGGAGTCGTCGGAGGGTTGTTTTTTTCCAGGTTTGGGGTTATCACCTGGTTTTGGATTGGGTTTTGGTTGTTCTGGTCCACTACTATCGTCTATCAAAGAATTGAACTCACTAATTAACTCTTTAGCCTTGGCGTTTATCTTTCCTGCATTACCAGTTTGCGCCTTAATAGCACCAGCAAGCCCACTTCCCATACCATAATAAGTATTAGCCGCATTAACAATAGCGGAGCAACTATGTAGATTTTTATCTCGGATATCTCCGACCTTAACTTTTATTGTTTTTTGTTGTCCAATCCATGAATTTGTTTTATTATTGTTTTTTAATATTCCTATAAAGCGATCAGCACTCAGTGGAACCGTAGTACTAAACAATTCTTTCTCTAACTGCTGAATTTTTTTTAAAAATAAGTATGGAGGTTTTTTGTCAAAGTCTATCAACATAATTTCTTTTACTTTTTGACACTCGGCTAATTGATTAGCAACTCCACGGATTATTCCTTCTGCCAACTTTTCAATGTCGGCTTTACCAAGAAATATGTCTCCACCAACGAGAGGAACAGCCAATTTTTCGAAATTATTTCTCTCCGCTAGAATAATACAATTTTGGACGGATTTGACTACGCATTCAACAAATTCCTCATCGCTAGGAAATTTTGACCGTTCTTTTGGCCCAGCATGAATGATGTGAGTAATTCCTTTGCTATTGAGGATTGAAGAACCATTTCCGGAGCCGTCCAAAGTGTCGGTCATTAAAGCACAACCGGCCGGCAAATTGTCCTTGGTGACTGAATAGTTTGTAATTCCTATCGACGAAATTGGCAAATGCGGATTTTTTTTGTATTCTGGTTCTTGGTCCGTTTTTTTTAGAGCAGTGTAATTCATATTATATTAATTTTATGATTTAGACTTGTTAACTTAAATTAAAACTTAGTATATAATATTTATAGTGTGTTAGCACATCATTTATTTAAAACTTATGAAAGGAGATTTAAATAAAAAACAAATGAAAGGAGCAAGCAGGAGGGGAAGGAATTTTGTGGTTGAAAACAGAGAACTTATCCAGGAAATACAGAGTATTCTCGGGGAGGAAATAAAAGAAATTAGAAAACTTCAAGAGCAAACTAACAATGAGGTCAAAGAAATAAAAAAAATTATGGTGGTTAACAAACTCAGCCAGTTGGTAGATAACTATGACAAAATTGCCAAAATAAAACAAAAAAAACTAGAAAAAGAGTGAGAATTAGCCGAAAAGGGCGAGCAAAGAAAGAAAGAAATTGCCGAATGAGATAGAATACAAGCCGAGGATGAGAAAAATTTGCGTGATTAATGGTCAGTATTAAAGTCAAACCCAAAAAGGAAATAGAAGCCAAGCGCGGCGGAGTCTACTTAATTCGTTTTGACCCGTTGAAAAAAGGCAAATTTAAAAGGGTTGTCAAGGATACCGAAATTAAAGACCTGCACTCTGCTGTGGTAATTTCTAACGACATCCAAAACCAAAAAAGCAGCCGAATTACCGTGGTTCCGCTAACTCACACTCTTAAACCTTTTTATGAGAGTTGGGAAGTTTACTCCAATTTTAACCAGCAGAAGGGAAAAATTATGTGTGACTAAGTAAAAAATATTGACAAAAAGCGAATAATAAAATATGTGGGGACTCTTGACCCAAAAATCATGAAGGAAGCGGAAAGAAAGATTTTGGAAGGATTAGAATTAATTAAGGCAATTTCAAGCGAACAATTACTTATGGAATTAGCCCGGAGGATAAAAAACAAAGAAATTGATTGAGAAAAAATCTTGGCAGAGATCTAAAAATATCAAAATAAGTATTTATTTTAACTTTTTTTCATGCCTAACAATTAGACAAGAGGCCTTGCTAGCTCAATGGTAGAGCAATTGACTCTTAATCAAGAGGTTGGAGGTTCGAATCCTCCGCAAGGCACCAGAATAGCATTGAAAATCTCATTAAAATGTCAATCCAAAAAATAACTTTCACAAAAAACGGAGAAATTAATGCCGTTCAAAAATTAACCGGCAAAGAATTAAACAACCAAGGAATAAAATTAGGTTGAAAAGAAATTGATGATTGGTTAGCCAACCCCCAGACCGACCACGAAACTGATTGAATTTTCCGTGTAAAAGCGGTTCCTTTTGAGCTTTCTCTGAATGGCGAAAAGAGACAAATTGAAACCATTGATTTTTTTTGTAATGCTAATACCGCTATTGATTTTTTTCTCACCAATGCTCTAAGTAACAGTAACAATTTTGAATTACAATGAATTGAAGAACGCACCAAAAAAAATCTCGCCTTTTCCGAAAATCGTCCTGATACTTTGATAGTTTATAGCAATACTTTATGAGCAGGACAAAGTAAGAAGGAACACGAAAAAATTAGGCAAAATTGGGACACGAGAGATTTAGAAGTCAGTTGAGAAAATATTAATTTGTTGGAATGAGGACTTTCTTTTGATTTAATTTCTCCCTTTTCTATTTCTATCGATAATTACCATTTCACTTTTGACAAAATTTTTTTGCCACTTGACTATCCCAAGGACGAGTATGAATGAATTAAAAAAAGATTGGCCGAATGAAAAGAAAATAAAAAACCGACTATCATTAAAAACGCCGTTTTAAGCACTAAAAGTTTTCTTTCCGTAAAAGATGGGAATATTTTATACATAATTGATACCGACCACCATGAGGGAGAAATTAAAGGGTTGATGAGAGAATGATTGGCCGAACCCATGTTCGAGAAAAATATTAGTGGTTGAGAAAAATTGCCTTATCTAGAAAAAGAGAAATTTATCAAAAGATATCCAAAAGAAGAACCAAAGGATATGAAAAAAGAAATTGAAGCGGCTATTAGAGCCTTGGAAAATGGCGAAAATGTGCCTGATAACACCGTGCCGCCCGAGCCAGTTCCTAGACAAAATAATCCTGACCAAAAGGCTTCTCCGAACCAAATTCCCCGAAAAATAATTATTCTGGCTGGGCTTTTCTTTTTAATCGTTATCATAATCAGGGTAATTAGCAAAAAAAAAAAAAAAAAAAAAACAATCTTAAAATTTACCCACTAATTCTCGCCAGTGAAAAAGAAAAATTTTCTCAAAAAGTTCTAATAAAATTAAGATAATCATTTTTTCCCTGG